AGTGTACGTGTGAGCCGTCGTGTGTGTTTGCCGCATGTGTGCGTGCAGAATAGTTTGTGTAAGAATGCTTGATATTTAAGTGTGTTTTCGTAATGAGTGTGTGTAAATGTGTTCCATCTTACCTTTAACTTTTTCAACCTGATAATTTGAAATTGAGATACAAACACGATGGAACTTTCATTTTTTGGGCTGTTTTATTCAGAAGAAACCGAACAAACTATTCTTAACAATAGATAATGATTTTAAAATATGGATTAAAGTTGATTTAAATTTAATTGAAAAAACAATATTTTTATTTCTATTTCTATAATTAAATTTAATCAATTTAAATTTAAAGTATTTTTGTTTTATGAAATTAATGCACGGAATATTCAGAAGAAACAGAAAAAACTTAACAATAGTAATGGTTTTAAAATATCGATTTTTAATTAAAAGCTATTTAAATTTAATTGAAAAACAATATTTTTATTACTATTTCTATAACTTCAAATTTAATCAATTTTAATTATTATTTAAGTTTAAAGTATTTTTTTTTTCTGGTTGTATTATGAAATTAACGCACGAAATATTGCAATGTTATTTGGGTTCATAAAATATAGATATTTTTTTCTTCTACATATTGAGGTAAAAATTCATTTCGTCGTTGACGTCGCTATCGTTTTCATTTGGTTCTAATATACCATTATTAAAATTGGCTAAAATGGAATCGAATTCATTGATTTGATCCATTAACCAATTTTCATCTTCGCGTTCAAGTGGCACCCCGACTTCAATATTAACAGTTTCGATGTAGCCGTCAGCGAGAACGTTCACAGCACTGTTACTAGTGAAAACGCGAATTAATATTTCCGCATTGTTGTCAATTTGATTCTCGCTCATTTCACCAACAACAGGAGCACTTTGAACTTCAGGAAATATAATGGAATTGGCATTGTGAGAAGCGTCTTCATTTTCGTTCGTATACCACTGTGACCCCCAGTCGACGTCATTTATGATCGGTGAAGCCTCGCCAAATTCATTCATATATTCATTTTCACCTTCGGGGCGGTACCATCCACTGTACATTTCATCAGGTATTGGTGGTGTTGAAAATTCCAAATTTTCGCGTTCATTTTGATAAACCATCATGTCACCCACTTCCGAATTTCCAAAAAACACATTATTTTGACGTTGATCTTCGATGGTTTCATCACTCGAAATCGATATAATTTCATCTTCCTCATCATCACTTGATATGTTTATAATTTCCGTCACATTTTCATCAAATTCGTCACTTTCGTTTGAAAAATGATTGCGAATGAAGGTGTTGCGCATTTTGATTTTCTTTCTTATTTGAGTATCTTCACAAATAGTTTAATCAGTTTTTGATTTTTTATATTTTAAACGAATACGCAGTTTTTTGAAATGACTTTTTTTTTTAATAATTCACTTTTATGGTTTTTGCAGTTATTCACTGAATACTTTCTATTTTATTTATATTTTTTATTTTTGAAAATCAAAATAGATTATTTGAATATGCAACCTTAAAAAAAGAAACAGTTTATTTCAATAGTGTTGTGTGATTTTCTATTTTAATTGTACGCACAGTTTTACAATTGATTTTTAAAATGCAGATGATGTGGAATAGTTGAAAGCAAAAATAAAACTGATTCAGAGAAAGTGTTTCCAAATAAATTTGGAAGATTATCTAGAAAGAATTTGTTGATTTTGAATTTGAAAGAATTCGCTAAATCTGCATTTTTTTATTGGATTCTATTTAAACCGCATCCAATGCGCATTAATTGAATGCGGCGACGATACGTACGCACTATGCGTACAATAACACATAACATCACATTAAACGCCGAAAAATATTCATATTGATGCCGTCTAATAAAAATGAATATACTTCACGACCGAGTATAACGGTAGCGGCGAATAATATAAACATTTCAAAAAGATATTGGAATTCTTCCTCAGTCATATTGTAACAAAAGAATGATTTTACGAAAAATAAGAAAAATGTTCTGTATTGAGTATTTGTAGTTGACTGTTTCAAAAATGGATTTCAAGTGATATGCTCAAAAATGCATACACTTTTATGACTCAATTTCTATTGATTAAATGAGAAATTCCAATAAAATGACTCATTAATGCCATTACAATCACCCCCACTACTTTTTATCAACTGGACTCATCGTTTTTGTACTAATTATAATTAATACTCGTACACTTTGATTTTTTTCTTCTTTGAGTACGGTTTGATCGCTTCAATAAAATCGCATTTTGTATTTTTTTTTACATTGAATAAAAAAAAAATAAAAAAAAAAATGGAGGGATATGATGAAACTGGCACAAGTGCACAAACATTTGTATTTCCGGAATATGCAATAGAATCAGCGCGCTTGCGTTCATTCAAAAACTGGCCAAGAGGCCTGAAGCAAAAGCTACATCAATTGGCAGATGCTGGTTTTTTCTACACAAGAACAAGCGATCACGTCATTTGCTTTAGCTGCGGCGGTGGTTTGAGCCAATGGGAAGAAGATGACATTCCTTGGGAACAGCATGCATTGTATTATGACCAATGCAAATATATGCGCATTATCAAAGGAAATGATTTTCACGATGAAGTGGTTTTAAAATTGGCGATGGAACGCATTGAAAAAAGTAAAAATAACACTAGCGATGAAACATCGCCACCTAATGCAACATCTTTGGAAAGTGAATCTTCAGATGGCGATGAAAAGTGCTGTGAAAAATGGTTCGAAAAATTAAATGATTCAAGAAAGTGTCGAATTTGTTATGAAAACGAATACAGCTGCGTATTTATTCCATGCGGACATATATTTGCATGTGCAAAATGTGCTTTGGTACTTGAAAAGTGCCCAATGTGCCAAAAAACATACACAAATTTGCAAAAGATCTTTTTTCCTTGAATTTTTTTATTTTTAAAAATTATTCAAAATGAATTCTTTCAATCATTTAGAAAACATTGTGTACAATAAATAAATTATAAAATAAAATAAATAAATTTGAATTGAAATAAAATGCCGCAATGCTCTTTTATTTCTTCTCATTTTTGAATTTAGTTCTTCTTCTTTTCCGGCGGGAGCATAATTATAGACCCTCTTTCCTTTTTTTTACGCATCATTTATTCTTACGGAAAGCCCATTAATTATTTCATTAAACGAATACATATCAATGTTTTGTTTTAATTGATAGATTATAAACCAGTCTCCAATCGAACATTTGTTCAATAAATGCATAACTTTATCACATGACGAATTCCTTATGCGCGTGCGAAGCATATATTTTCGTATCCATGGCAAGCATAAAAGTAAAGCGCGATACAATAGCTTCCACCCGCTCAAAACGGCAAGAATGATAAACCAAAACCATAAAAAGATATATATTTTCTCATTAACAACATTCAATGGAAGAATGCATAATGCATCAAAAGCTTGTATACTTCCAGAAGGTCCATATTTTTGAAATGAGCATTTTGTTAATTTTGGAAATACGCGCGCCATCATATCATCTGGCGTTTCCATGGATTTGAATAAGTTAATACTATAGAAAGAGAATTCTCCATCCAAAAAGTAATCCATAAAATAAATTTGTGTAGAGACATTGATGAAAATAAGAACCTCACAAATGAAATACCGGAAAGCATAAAAGTTGTGACAATTCAAGTTATCCTGTAAATAGCGCATGACGCTGTCTTTCTGTGTCTTTTTTTCTTCTGAGGCTAACACTGGTACATTTAAGTTCCCCACCAACATTTTAATGCGATTGCCTTCCCATGACTTCCATACATATCTTGGCGCATAAAATAATAACGCTTGAAAGAGAAGAATAAATGAGACCCATTGATAATATTTATGGTATTTGATTATTCCGCCTCCATCAAAGTGGTTCATAACCCCCGGATATGCAAAATGCCGGCCTGATTCACCTTTAATATGTCTTGAAATTGTATAAGTACTGTGAATCCAACAATATGAATCCATAGCACTAGATGAAATGTCATCGTTAATACAATTTATTGGGTCTCCAAAATATTGTGACGATGACACAATAAAAGAAAATGAAATTAAAATGATAAACGTTGTCTTGCAATGCAAACGAAATATCCAACCGTCTATGCAAACGCGATCTGGCTTCAAAAGCCCTGTCACAGAACGTAGTATATCGAACATATTGTCGCACAAATATCTTTTTACTTACTGACGAAACTTCATCTAATTAAGTCAAATATATATCTTTTATACACCCTCCCCCACTCTTCCAATTCATTACAAAATGAAATACCAATCGTTTTATTTTTTGTTCAAATTATATTTTAAAAAATCTTACGAGTGTACATGTACTTAAATCAAATCATTTGAATTTATCCATGAATTGTGTGAATTATCAAATCCTAACCATTTCACGAATAATTGATTGTCTTTTCGTTTTACAATTTTTTCTACTAAATAAATGTCCTTATTTTTAGTTTTGAGCAACTCATGTTCGTAAAAGCACCCTTTTATCTTTTGGTTATTCAAGTCGGTCAGATGATATGTTACTGGTTCAGTGGGCAATATTTTGGCTATAAGAAAAATTTCCGTGCTCCAGTTTGGCGTGTAACCTTTTTCGAAAATTGACTTAAATTTACTTATGCGAACATATTCTCCAACGCGGAACTTATTTTTTGTGCACACCAAAAAAGTCTGGTTTGGTTTATATACAGTTTTTAACAAATATTCTTGATTTTGTTCATTAACGTCGATGGGCCTCATTTTAATGGTACGGTGCACTGTTGAATTATATTTTTCGATAACTTGATGTAGATGTTTCAGCCAGTTATGTGAGCCCTGTAAGCTGAATTGTCGCCACAGCTTGTTGAGGATCGTTCGGTTCAATCTCTCCACAATTGATGCCTTCATTTTAGTAAACGTCGAGTAATGATTTATTCCATGCTGCTTCATCAGTTTTTGAAAATGCTGGTTATAAAATTCTTTTCCTTGGTCCGTATGCAGATTCTTTGGAATATTCTCTGGATTTTCTTTAAAAATAGTCTCCATTACCTTCATTACTTCTTGTCCAGTTTTATTTTTTAAACCTTTTGCCCATGCTCGTTTACTGAACACATCAATTACCATCAAAATATACTTATATCCACGATTTTGTTTTGCAAACGGAATCATTTCTATAAGATCGGCTTGAAAAGTTTCATTCATTCCCCTCATTTCATATTTTCTGCGTGCAAAATTTCTCCGCGCACTGTGATGAAGTTCATCTACCACTTGCTGTTTGCTCATATTGACTTATATCTTGATGTTCATATGACTTGTGATAAAGCTTAACTAACAGAAAAAACTCTATGCCTCCTGTATTTATTTTATAATTTTGGCTTCTCGTAGCTCTTCAACAATGGAGATAATCTCATTGTTATGAGCTGTGTGGCCAGCTGCTTGTGATGCCATCAATAATCGTAATCTATCCACCAACTCATTTGGATCATCCCAATATGTATAATTGAAGCCATTGACTCTTTCTTTGTTGACAACTTTATATTTTAACTGTGGGCCTTTTAAAACTCCGCTCCCCTTTTTACTTTCTTCGCGAAATAATGCAGAAATTATGTTTTCATATTTCCATGATGAGGGAATGATATTTATCGCACCATTTCGCATAAATCTCTTCTTATGCGCACTCGTGTATGAAAGCATGTCCCTGTAGGTGGCCATATCAGAGCCAGTATACCTTTTGGGTTTATTGGAAGTCAGCAACTCAGTCAAACCTGTTGTAATCGGAAATTTTTTTTTCCTAACAGAATATACCATTCCATTGTTTGTTTTTTTAACATTCACAGTATCTTTCCCCAATAAAATTTCATCGCCTTTAATATTAAATCCGTAAGGTTTCTCAACAGTTGGCGTATAAGATTGTAACAATTGCTTTTTGATATGGCTCATGTGTTTTTCTTCTTCTTCTTCTTCTTCTTCTTTGTCAGAATCATCATTAAGCGGAGAAATGCCACTAATGTTGCGAGAGCTTTGATTAGGGGATGAAATATCGGGCGTGTATTCAAAAAAATTACCCCGGTGAGGTGGCACAGCAGTCTTGAAAATTGTACTAGGCGGTCTAGCATAATTTGTAGTCTCCTCTTTTTCAACTTTAACAACTTTCTTATCATCTGGTATGCTGTCATTTTTCTTTTCTTGCTTAGCAATTGCTTTCAATGGCGCAATGATTGGTTCGTACGTTTCACTCACGTGATGACTCACTGATAATTTCTGATTGCGCAAATCGCGGAATTTCTTCCTTATCGCGTTTCTAGTATTTATAATTGATTTTTTTAAACTCTCATCGCCAGCGCTCTGCAAAGTTTCGCCACTCTTTCGTTTTTTATTTTTATTCATTTTTTGTGGGGAAATTTACGTGAACACCTGAACAGTATCTTTAATACTAAATTGATGTTGCAGTATTCTTATTATTTTATACTCTTTATGCAGATGTGATATGAATGAAACTATCAAATCGCACACGATATTTTCCATTGTTTGGCGCGCGTTCAGTGTCTATAACTAAAAATCCATATTTTTCACTCCAACATTTTGCGCATATTATCTTGAATTTATCAAATGTCATGTCGGCTGAGACATTAAAGTCATTGAATATATGCTTCAAGCTCATTTCATCCTGTTTAAATAAAACCAAAAAATTCGCATTTTCACGAATCAAATGTTTTGGGATATGTGTGTAACTCTGACTCAAATAAAAACAATCAACGCTTTTATGACGGCCCATACAAAAATATGACCTTATATTGTTTTGCTTTTCACAAATCACATCATCGAATATAAATATTGAGTTTGGCTTAACATCATCCAACGGAATCACGTTCTCATTGGATGAAAACATATAGCAGCCAATGCCTTTAATTGATGTTAAGATTTTCTTCAAATAAACGTATTTCGGTTGAAATAAAGACTTTGCGTATACGTAGACGTTTTCAAAGTGAAGTCCATTTGGGCTTTCAAGTAAACTAATTATAACATTTGTCTTTCCACAATTTGAGGGCCCACACATGATGCAACGAATACTGTTTGGTAGCAAAACACTATGTTTGTAATGTGGTTTTCTATACGTATCTCCCCCTCGCGTTTCAACATTTTGAATGGGAATTTTCACGCGTTGCTTGATTATCTGAATCTTGTCCATTTTCCATGAAATTAAATTTAAAGAAGGTGCTTTAAATATAACTGGTCATGGCTACTTATACTCATTTAATGCTCAACCTTTGTGCAGACACCACGCATATATATTAAAATTACTTCATAAAAAAGAAGGAAATCACTTTAAAATGAAGTCTAAAAAGCATACTAAAAAGCTAAAGCAGCTAAATAAAAACCGTAAACGAAAGTTGGGTAAAGGTATAGCTAAAAGCAAGAAGGGTAGAAGAAAAATAAGAAAAGCGCCCACAAAGAAAAAGAAAAGATTAAAGGGGGAAGGTATGATTAATTCATTATTAAATCGTTTACCTTTCGAGGCGCATTTGCCTGGAGGCTATCAGTATTGTGGCCCCGGAACAAAGCTCGAAAAACGCCTCAAACGCAATGATCCAGGCATAAATGAATTGGATAGAGCATGTAAAGAACATGACATTGCATATTCAAAAACGAATGACATTTCTGTGCGTAATAAGGCTGACAAAATTCTGGGGCAAAAGGCGTGGGAACGTGTCAAGTCAAAAGACGCCAGTTTGAAGGAGAGAGCAGCAGCTCTCGGTGTCAGTGGTATCATGAAAGTTAAATCTAAAATGGGGATGGGTTTGAAAGTGAGCGGTTATCTTAAGAAGAAACAAACAAAACGTAAAACACGCTTCAAAACAAAGAAAAAGAGTAAGAAAACACTATCAGCACAACAAATATTTAACAAAGCTGTAACAAGCGCAAAAAATGAAATCAGAAAACAGCTCCCCAGAACTGTTCCCGATGCTGCAAAATTAGCTGTGCAAGCAGCAAAAACAACCATAAAAAATCATAAAATATCTAAGGCATCGTTGCAAAATGGACTTCCTCGTATAATTCCAGTTCCAAAGATAGGTGGCGCATTGCCTTTAATCCCCATTTTTGCGGGTCTTTCAGCCTTGGGCGCTTTGATGGGCGGCTCAGGTAGCGTTGCAAACGCCGTCATTTCGGCAAATAAAGCAAAAAGAGATTTGAATGAAGCGCAACGTCATAATAAAACCATGGAAGCCATTGCGTTAGGGAAAAATATGAAATCGGGTAATGGTCTATATTTGATGCCATATAAGAAAGGATTGGGGCTCTTTCTCAAACCATTTTCAAAAAACGTGTAAATAAGCTCCTCAATGATATAAAACGCCCCCTTACCAACTTTGACATTTTAAAATTTGGAAAGTATTTACCATTCTTTCGCGGCGTCTTCATGAGAGACAGTTTGCCTAAACATTGCAAAAAGTATGAGTGCGGTGTAATAAATTTGGACAGTAAAGTGGGTTTGGGGACGCATTGGGTGAGCTACTATAAAAAAGATAGAGATTGTTACTATTTTGATAGTTTTGGAGATTTACCACCACCACGTGAATTTATAAATTATATTGATGATGATTGTACAATTTATTTTAATTACAAACGTTACCAAAAGTTTGACAGTGTAATATGCGGACATTTGTGTTTAAATTTTTTATTTGATATGGCGTACAAATAATCATTTAAAAATCTTTTTTTTTTAAATACGATGATAAATACAAATGGAATTCAATGACTAATGTGAATGGAATTCAATGACTAATGTGAATGGAATTCAATGACTAATGTGAATGGAATTCAATGACTAATGTGAATGGAATTTAATGATTCATTGAGCATACTATAAAAGACATGTATTGCATGTAACTAAACGTAGTTGAATATCGTAGTGTGTATTGTAACGATCCATCTGAAATCTTTTCGCGATAAAGACGAATGAAAAAAAGATAATTGTGATCTTTTATAGTTATACAGTTACAGTTATTCATGAGATTTATATTGCAATTTAATTTGAAATTTCATCGGTTGGGCGTTAATTTTACTGCACAAACAAAAAAAGTATTCATGATGTCTACCCCCCAAAGAAAACCATTCACTGTTTTTATTGAAGGAAACATCGGTGTTGGAAAAAGCACTCTCCTGAAATATTTTGAACA